CTTGCTCAGCTGGCTGTTTCACGGCTCCACAGCCAACCACCTCCCCACAGAATAAGCTCTGTATGAAACAATGATGCAAATTTTTCTTATCCTGAAATTCAGCAAAGCCTTCTTCCTGACTGAGCAAATGTGTTGGTATCTTGCAGTGCGGGCTCACTCCTGGAGGAGAGATGTAAGCAGGAAGGAAGCTAGTTCGTACTCAGTTTAATTTCCCCAGGGTTATATATCTTAAAGAGAGCAAGCACACAAAGACCAGACACAGATAGAAGACTAAATTCTGTTCTCATTTATGATGGGGTATATGTACAATAATCCTGCTGATACGTGGGTTGTGCTATAATGAAAAGAAGATTTCTGGAGACTGACCTGATACAGGAAAGCAAACGAGGTTTCTGAAGAGGAAAACCTTCTTCTCACCTGGTCCTCTCACCTTTTTCTCTTCCAGCCTTTTCCTTGGCCAAATTCTGCTCCAGATTGCTGTGTGAAGTCTATGCAGCAGTAGCCCAAATTGGCCAGAGCCTCAAAGCAGAACTGCTCTCCCTTTCCTCCCAGCAGCCACACAAACCCAGGGCTCAGTTTTATTAGAACACAGATTACTAAATCAAGAGAAAACTCCACTGTCCTGGGCGAAACATTTTTTTGGAAAAAAATGTTTCCAAAGAAATCTCTCTCTGGCCATAGTGCCCATGTAGGCTGTGCCTTTCCCTCATTTCTCATGTCCATCCTGTGACTTCTAGCTGCTTCCAGGGCTGAACAATTCCTCACCTTCCTTCCAGTGCCACCACCATGGAAGCTCAACCCTGAGTCTGTTTTCCACAGTCAGGGAGCACCCTGTCCCCAGAGGAGTCTCCCAGCCTATACTCCCCCAGCAGCTCCCCATTTGCTCCAGGACCCAAGTTGATGTTGATGGTTTGCATTCACACTCCTGTACCCGAGAGAAGAATCTGGCCCATGAAGACCTTGAACACTAAGTTCTGGAGAAGAGCTGTCTCTGACCATTTCTCTTTCCCTTGTCTCTCCTTTCTACTCCATACGAGAAGTTGTAGAGTCACCTACTATAGCATCTGTCACTGCTGAGTAGTGGGGGACGCTTCAGCAGTCTGTCCCCTTGCCCACTGTGATGGGCACACAGAGGAAATGGAGAGCCCACACAGCAAAAGCACTGGCACACCACGGATGCAGACAGGATCTAATCCATCTGTGAAAGCAACCACCACCTACCGCTTCTATCCAGCCCTTTCCACCAGTTTTGTTCCCTGTTTGGTGGTTTGGTCACACAACAGGAAGCTCTTTGCTGTTTTCCTTCCCAAAGAGTGGTGGTTTTCTCTGCTCAGAAAGGGGATAGAGAGATTGAACTCCCTCTGAAGATTTCAGAACTGCTTCTGTAGATGCCTAGAGGAGCTCCACAGAGACACAGCACCCCATACTCCAACCTCCTACCCACACCCCCCTGTGCTGTATTTTCTCCAGATGTCCTTGGTTTGTGCCTTTCCTCACTTCCCTCACAGGCAGTCTAAGTTATCTCAATGTCAGGAAGCATTTCTCAAAATACAGATGCTACCTCTGACCCTTCCTCTCATTGAAGAGTTATATTGGGGACAAATCAATTGCATTTCTTTTTAAATGCATTTCCAGTGTCTTAAAAATAAAATCATTGCCATCAAATTTATCAGTACTTTCCTCAGCACCTTGTGATGCATAGAGAGATTAAGACCCAAAGAAGGATGTGATGCCTAAACTAGGACACAGACAAGTTTAAAGACTAAAAAAATCTTAAAAAGTGCCAGAACTTCCATTTCTGCACAGTAGCCCAACCCTAATGCTTCTGTAGGTCCAGGACACCTCTCTTTCTGACCTGGAATTTTTGTAATTGGCCTGTTTGGTTTTCAGGCCTGGGGTTACTGTCCAAACTACCCTCACTTGGACAGTTCAGCTCCTGGCTCCCTGATCTCACTTGGCAATCTCAGTTTTCTGACTCACCCCTACATAGCACCAGCTTCTTCCCTGGACACCCAGCTATCAGCTTTGGATTCCAGTTTGGGGAAGAGAAAACTTATGCTGCTAAACTGAAGGGCCATGAGAATTTCAGGTCTGGCGTTGATCATGATAAATTTTCATACCTTCCTCCCAGTATTTTATCATTCATTTTTTAGCTACAGCTAGTTTCACCAACTCTTCATTCTTTCCTGTTCTGCTCTGCTGCATTTTATCTTTCTAATTATTCACTAATGGATTATCTTTTTTATGCTGTGCTGATTTTGGCTGGGATACAGTTAATTTTCTTCGTAGTAGCTAGTATAGGTCCATGTTTTGGGTTTGTGTGGAAACAGTGTTGATAATACAGAGATGTTTTTGTTACTGCCAGGCAGTGCTTACACAGCATCAAGGCCTTTCCTGCTTCTCATCCCACCCCACCAGTGAGCAGGCTGGGGGTGCACAAGAGATTGGGAGGGGACACAGCTGGGACAGCTGACACCAGCTGACCAAAGGGATATTCCATACCATAGGATGTCATGGTTACCATATAAAGCTGGGGAAGAAGAAGGAAAGGAGGACATTAGCAATTATGGTGTTTTGCCTTCCCAAGTCACCATTACATGTGATGGAGCCCTGCTTTCCTGGAGATGGCTGAACACCTGCCTACCAGTGGGAAGTGGTGAATCAATCCCTTGTTTTGCTTTGCTTGCATGTTTGGCTTTTGCTTTACCTATTAAATGGTCTTTATCTCAACGTATGAGTTTTCTCACTTTACTCCTCTGATTCTCTCTCCCATCCCACCAGGGGAGTGAGCAAGCACTTATGTGATGCTTAGTTGTCGTCTGGGGTTAAACCATGACATATTTGTTGTATTTAAAGCACACTTCTTATTCCTCATGGCTGCTTTGAACTGCAATGATTCATTTTTAGTTTTCTTAACTCCTCTCTCCTTGTCTGCAAACATTGTTTCTGCTAAGTTTCCTCCACAGCTTTCCTTTCCTCAATCAGGTGCAGAGACAAACAACAAATTTTTGAAACAAATACCCCAATTTCTAAGCCCCCTCTGTGATGAGACATGACCCAGAACGTTTCTTTTCCCCCTGTCTCACAGAAACTATGCTGTCCTACACCACATTTATACTGGGTCCAATTTTCAATTACATATTCCATAAACACCCCAAATCTGAATAGCACCGTTTTTGCTGGGTGGGAATTGAGTGTCAATTTTTGACAGCAATACTTAAAGCCTTCAGGGGTTCCCTATTTTTCTCCCAAATCCTAATAAATCCACAGGAAAGCATAAGCAAGGAACAGAGGAAATGTCTTACTGGATTTGGAGCCTCTGGGAACATCACATGAAATACAGCTGTACAGTCCTCACCAGTGACCAGAGTTAATTTATCTAACAAGTTCCAAGATTTTTGAGAAATCACTTGGTGACCTCCATTTCATTCCCTCTGAATACATCTCCAGTCCAGTTGACACTATAAATGATAACTCCAGCAGAGAGGTCTTCATTCAATAAAACTCATGTCCAAACGTAATTTTCAGCATGAGGATACTGCCTTTGAAACCCATGGCAAAAGCTGCATCTTCCCTCTTGTACTAGACTGGGACTGGCTAAACTCCTGTCCTTCTTCTGTCCTAGCAGAAATGTGGTCTAAGGGGAGATGTCATCACTCCCTACAACTACCTGGAAGGACATTATAGAGAGGTTGGTGCTGGTCTCTTCTCACAGGTAATGGGCAATAGAACAAGAGGGAATGGCTTTAAACTCCAACGGGGGAAGTTTAGACTGGACATTAGGAAAAAAATTTTCACAGAAAGAGTGGTCAGACAGTGGAATAGGATGCTCAGGGAAGTGGTGGAGTCACCATCCCTGGATGTGTTTAAGGGCCGTTTGGATAAGATGTTGAGGGATATGGTGTAGGGGAGAACTTTGTAGAGTAGGGCTGGTGGTTGGACTCAATGATCACAAGGGTCTTTTCCAACCTGAATCATTCTGTGATTCTGCCATTCAGTAAACCCCAGGATCCTGAGCCAGACCCCAGTATCAGTGTCTGTTCTGGCATCTGCTCAAAACATCAGAAAGAGGAACAGCACAAGTGCAGATGGAGACCAGTTGCTTCATTCTCATTTGGGCCCTAATTCAATGGTGTGACTGGTCCTTCCCTGTAAGGATGAAACAGTAGCACCTAAACACTATAGCCTGATTGAAATTACCTTTTCCCCATGTATTCCTTCCCAGTTGCAAGAGGAATGTATGCTGTAAAATAACTAGGTGTATATATAACGTTAAACTCTATGAAGATCAGTAAACCGCAGTTTTACACATCTTTTTGTTCTGAAAACCCACTTGACTTAGGTGCCATTGCGAAGCTGTGAGATTGAACCTGTGAATATGATGGCCAGGATTTGATCCTGTCACATGAAGAAAACCATGAACAGATGCAACTGCTTTTAAAGCAGTCACAAGCACAGCTCTTCTGCTGCTGGTTCATTCAAAGTGACCCCTTCCTCATTTTATCTCCTTCAAGTGCATCACTTAGTTATTTCTCTCCCCCTGGAAAATAAGGAGTGAATAAAAATCTTGCTATTTGGGATGGCATTAAAAAAAAAAATAATGACAAATAAAGACATTTTAATTGCGTGGGATTTCTGAATAAGGTTTCAAAGTAGGGGGGAAAAATAGCTGTGTGCCTGGTACACAGAGCCCTTTCTCTTCCCCTTTGTGGCAGAGGAATCAATGGAATTCCTATAAAATAAGAAGGGGGGTGGGAAGAGAGATAAGAGATGCCTTGCTCAGTACCAGCAGGTCACAAGTCTCATGAGGCTCAAGCAGGGCTTGCAAGGAAGTTGCTGACTGTATCTCCATGTGTACCTTTTTGTTCCTTGCCTTGGATTTGCTGGTCAGTGGCATGCTGCTTTGCCTGGCTCTCCATAGAGCTTGTAGCCTACAGGAATTTGGACAGAGTGGTACAGACATCGCCGACAGAGACTCTGATCACTGACTATCCCTTTAAATGCAGTCTCATGACTTAGTCTTTACTCCACTACCTATTAAAGGAAACAAGACGTACATAGACAGCTTCCATTCAGACACCCAGAAGGACACAGAAAGGCAAGACAATTTAACAGAGCTAACTGTGAGTAAATACAAGGCATTAGAGGTGTTCTCTGGAGCAAAGGGCATGGAGAAAGATTTGTAGGAAATCCTGAAGTGAAGGAAGGTGCAGTATTTTTTAAAATATACTTGCATACAATGTTCAAAAGGCAAAGCTCTTCTGTCATTTTAACATTATTCCTCTAAATATGAATCAAAGTGTCTCAATATAACATTGACCAATGCTTGATTTCCCATAAAAATCCAAAGCAGTGATTTTGTGCTGCAAGCACTGGACTCTTTTGCAAATACAACCTTTTTTCACTGGGATAAATTTCATAGAAGGAATATCGGCAGGGGGGGGGGAGGAATTTGAAGGGAGCCTCTTTCAAACTTGGATCTAAAGCCCAACCTTGAGTGTCCAGTTAGATGGAACTCACGAGGGGTGGCCTTCCTTCTGGGAGTGCTGGATGCCCCTTTCTGTTGGGCACAGAAAGGAGCTGTGGTGCTCAGAAGCACAGAGACCGCACCAAGGTGTCCCATCATGTCTGTAGGTAGCTAACTTTTTAACCAAGGGGCTCTGTGTCTCCATGCACTGTAATGGCTAACCATCCTATATGGGTGCAGCATTCTGGAAAACTCAGTTCTTGTTAGTCGACAGAGTCATCAACATGTCATTACATCTGGTTTTTTCTTACGACAATAGCTACTGGGTAGACCCGGACAAGTATTTTAACAGTGATCCTTACTGTTGCAAGTGATATCTAAACACTGATGGAAAGAGAAAGTTCCTCTGTCAGCTCAGCCTATTGCTTTGCTAAATATGTCTTTATTATTAATTGCAGGTATGATTATCTGGTGGAGACTGTTCCCAGCTCACCTTCATGTTGCCCATTTTCTTCTCTGTGTTCATCCTGTCTGCTTGCTGCTTAACCAAAGGAAACTGCATCTCCTATGATGAGTTGAAAGAGCTGAAGACTGAATTTGCCATCAATCTCTACCGGCATGTATCTGAAGCAGAGAACAGAACCAATCTGGTAGTCTCTCCAGCAAGCGTGGCTGTTTCTTTGGAGCTGCTGCAGTTTGGAGCTCAAGGAAATACCTTTACAGAGTTGCAGGATGCTCTAGGATACAATATTCATGGTAATGTACAAATACTTCTTGTCATACATTTTGCAATAAATTCACAGCTTTACTAAGGAGACTGCAATTGCACACATAATTTTAAACTTCTGTTTTCTGTCTCAGTGCAAGATGTAGCTTAGGAGTGTTTTCTCCATCTTTGATAGCCAGGTATCAGCTAGACAAAGGAAACTCAAGGGAGTATTTGATATGCATATTATTATCCCCCTATTTTCTTGATCAGTGTTTGCTCTTTTACTGCACCAAAATACGTCCACATCTAGAAAAGCTGCTTACATGAACAGCAGGATTGCTTCTGGTTTCCCAGAGGTTCATTGTGTCCATTGTGTCCTGACCTCCCCTGTGTCCTCTGCGAAGAGCTGCCAGGCAGAGGACAGTAGTCTTCTCTCCTATCCCACTTAAACTCTCTCTCCTACCCCATTACCAATTTTTATGAAACCCATAGAAATTGACTTTGCGCTTTTTTCTAATGTCATTACAACTGGCCAAAATAATGAAAAGTTATGAGGAGACTGACAGAGAGATATATACATTGACAGATGGATGGTTCAATTGCATCTTTGCCTGAAAGCAAGCTAAAATAAAAAATCACTGGGAATCTGGAAGGGATATGGAAAAGGCAGATGTCTTAAAATCTAACATTAAGTCAGCTGAATTTAAGCATGATGTTTTCATTTTAGCTCTGGATTATCCTATCGTCTCACATCACATGTCAAAAACTATTTTACATTATGGGCACAATGTTTATGAAAAGCAGATGACTGCCTCATCTTCAAAATTTGCAGCTTACATACAAGACATGTATAGAGATGACACTGCTATTTCTCAGCATAAAATTTACTTTCAGCTTATGAAGAGTAAAGATAAACCCTACAGCAATTTCACTATCCTGTGTTGTAACCTACCGTAGTCACTCTTACCATTCTCTATAGCATTGATACTCAAAATCAACACAGCAGTAAGAGCTAACTCTGGCTGATATATATATATATATATATATATATGTGGCTGCATGTACTGACATAAGACACTACGTCCATATTATGAGCAGCTGATATAATGAAGTCTTGCCTATGAAAATCCTGTTTCTGTACATTCAGTAATTTTAAACAACGTTAGTTCACACAACGATTACACTTTGCTTGATACTTCTGGCCATTAGGGGTTTAGTTATTAAGAAATAATCTTAAGAAAAATACTTCACAGTGAAATTCAGGCACACATCTCCACACGAAATGTAACAGAGAAGTGCAGAGGCTGTTAATGACCTGCTAGCTCTTTTGTGCTACCTTACTTCTTCTCATGTGGCGCATCAGATCGAGCAGACATTTTATCTCCATTTTAGTTGTCTGTGGCACAAGCCACATGAGCTTTGGCTTTCAGTAATATTAATGCATGAGTTAATGCATGAATGCGAAAATAAAATAGTATAGGATCTATTGCCATTGAATATAACAGCACATTTCCAGTGACAGAGAAGAAAATCACTTTCTCAAATGGTTTAAATTGAATAAATAAATCAAATACTTAGATAAAATTTTCTATCAGATTAGTAAAACCAAATCACACGTGTATGCATATCTGATAAATTTCTTCTGTTAGATGTTTGCATTAGTGTTTCTGTTGGTCTGTCTTAAACAGTAATGAAGGACGTGGTTAAAACCTTAGCAGGCTGAAAACAATGAAAACTTTGACAGTACATTCATTATTCACAGAGAATCCGCTCTTACATGCACTTGTAATCTTCTTTTAATGTCTGGAAGATTTGTTCACCTTTATTCTAGTACTAAGAAAAACAGTATAAAAAGGGATGTGATGTCTCTCTAGACAGCACAGAAAAAATGGTATGCTTCAAAAATGCTTTCTCCTTGCTGTTCTATTTTATCAACAATAGAGTATTCTAAAACCACTTTGAACTGTTTTCGAAGTAAGAATTCAGGACTTTGGTTAGCTAAGCAGTTTGATATGACTGAAGTTACAAGCTCAGGACACCACATCTCACGTTAACATCTGCTTCCAATTTACCATCTTTGATTTCTCACATCCTCGAGAGAGCTTGCCAAATGCTCTTGCACTAATGCAAAACATACGAGAAAAGCACTTTACACCTCAGACTGTGTGAGTTTTCTTGACATCTGTTCAAGTTCAATATTTTATCCCTTAAAGAGTAATAGATCTAAATGTTAATACGAAACTTCCCATAGGTGATTAGTCTTCTTGCAGTTATTAAAGGAACACTATTAGGTCAGAAAACATGCACAGAATCTTGGGTGGTAGAAATCAGTAGATGTGAAACTCCCCTTTTATCCCATCAAGAATCTGAACCAATGCAATAGAAGTCTCCTGATGAGATCAGGGACGTGGCTGGCAGCTGGAGCTTCACAGCAATCCTGGTGTTGACCTGATGCTCAGCTTCAAACAGGTCAGTCCAGGCAGGATGGATCCTTCCCAGTTAGCAGCCCCAAACCATCCATATCCCAGGTGACAGCCCAGCATAACTTCCCTCCAGTACTGCCTACACCCACAGGTATCTGGAAAAACTTGGTGATGCCTTCCTTTTCCTAAGGTCTTTCTGGAGTCAAAACCAAGATTTCCAGCTAGGGCCATTATGGCAAGCCCAGCCATGCCCATGGGGACCCAGATACCTGAAGGCTGGCCAGGGTGCCCAAGGGTTCCAGGCCAAGGCAGAGGAGCACCTGAGATGAGTACAGCACCCTGGAGAAGAGAGGGGTACAATACAGAATCCTCTTGGAGACAGTGGACAGCGATTCATTGCTTAAATTTCACACAGAAATTAGGACACCTGGTGCCTCTTCCCCCAGGGAAAGCAGAGAGGTTCTGGTGGTCCTGCAGAGCCAAGAGGCACTGATGTCTTGCTGCAGAAGTAAAGCAATCTCCAGACACTTTTCAGTCCTCAGAGGAAGCTTATGGGAGAAGGAATCTGCTGGAAATGTCTTAGAGGCAAGTAACAATCTCAAGAAGACTTTTATTGTCTGGATGTAGGCAAGTCTCCAAAGCACAACAAGGAATATGGGAAAGGGGCTGAATTGCAAACACAAGAAATTTGAGAAGATTTGACACACAATCCATCAACATCATTCAGACTGGGTGCAAGTCCCAGGCCTCAGGAGGTCACCTTGGCATGAATCATCCCATCAGAAAGCAGTGAGCAAAATAATGACAACCAGGAACAGCTGCTAAATCACCCTTCAGGGAAGCCTACTAGAAACTTTGTGATTTTGAAAACACAAGATCTTCTATTTTGCAGGACTCATGTTCCTGTTGGGCCCCACACCTCAAACCTGTATCCATTAGAGAAGCCACCACCATCCTGATCTAGTTGAAGATGTCCCTGCTCATTGCAGGGGCGGTGGACTAGATGACCTTTAAAGGCCCCTCCAAGCCAAACCATTCTATGATTCTGTGATTCTGTGAACTACCATGGGATCCCCAGGAACAGGAGCCTGAGGCACTATTCAATTATTTCCATCAGTAGACAACAAACTAGAGAATACATTACTGACTTTTTCAATGACACTGAGCTCATAGTTGCTACAAGCATTTTGGAAGATGAGAATAGAATTCAAAAGGATACTGGCAAATTGAAGATATGTGTGAAGTGAAATAGGACACAAATCAGTAAGGACAAATGCAAAATTCTACATTTAGAAGGAGTAATCAGCCATTCAAACCGGTGACCAGTGAGCCAAAGAATAGTTTTTTCAGAAAGGATCTGAGGGCTCTTGGTAATTAAAAAAAAAAAAAGTAATATTAAATGTGAAATTATAATAATATAATTGTACTTCAGAAAAAGCAGACACTGTTGTGGGTTGTATAAAGAGAAGACTTGCTTGTAACATACATGAAGCAATGTATCAGCTCTACTTAGCATTTCCAGGGCTCATCTGAAATAGTGGACCAGTTTGGCGCACCATCCTTCAAGAAACAAAACACCACATGAGGGCCAAGGGTAGCAGAGACAGACCTGGAGCAGTCAAGGAGATGTCTTTCCTGGGGTGCGTGCCATCGATAATGGCAGGAGAAGATGGTAGTACTGTGGCATCAGCAGCTCAGCCAGTCACAGCCAGAGGTGTTAGGTCTCACTAATGGGAAACCAGAGAGTTCCCAAAAGAAAATAAAGTTCCTGACTGTCCTGGTTCAGCCAGGACAGAGTAAAGTTTTCCCCAGCAGAGAGAGAGGGGGAAGGGATCTCCAGCCGGGTTATTCATACCATGCTGACGTCAGGTCCGGGGGAGGAACCTTTTCCTTGCTCCTTGGTGGGTTCGGGAGGGAATTTGGCTTTCCGTAGACCAGCTAGCGGTATTTCTCTGTATATCGTTTGTCTTGTTCACTGTTATTGCTGTTTATTGTTGTTACCATTGATACTGTTGTTATTCAGATTGTTCTATCACTCTGTTGTATTACATTTCTTGTTATTTTAGCCGGGGTCTGTGTCTAACTTCCAGCCCAACCGGCGCGGGTGGGGGAGGGGCAATGGCCACGTGCTCTCCAATTCCAGCAGGGCTTAAAACTTGCACACTTATGAACTGTAAGAGCTGGGTTTTCATAGAGGTGTGAGCCTGATGTGAAATCAGTCACTTGACATAACTGCCTAGAGTGATTTCTACAGCAACATGAAGAGTACTTTCCTATGCCCAGTGCATCACCATCCTTGACAGTAGCACTTGACAGTAATACCCCATAAAGTCAAGGATGCTTTAGCTATTATAGTGCTTTAACTTTCAGAGGACACCAGTGTCAGCACTAGATTTGAAAGATGCTGAGCCCTGGTGCAATCTCTGCTGTCCTTAGCCTCAACACAATAATTGCAGTCTCTTCCTCTCTCTTGTCTGGCAGATCAAAGTGTTCAGGATTTCTTGCACACAGTGTATGAAAGAGCAACTGACTCCAGCCAAGGTACAGTGGTTCAGCTCTCATGTTCCTTCTTCATGGATGCCAGTGTGCAGCTCTCACCCATCTTTGCTGCACATGCTGTGCATTGGGCAAACAGCAGCCTGCAGCAAACCAACTTCACTGACCCCAACAGAACCACAACCCAAATACAGGAATGGATCACCAGTAACCTTGGAGGTAACATAACAGATGGTGAGAATGATTTCACATGAATAAATATAAAATAAGAGTAACGAGAGAACCTGCACTTAATCGAGTATAAAGTTTTTTGCTGATATCCCGTGTTGTTCAAACCAATACTGAGGGCTGTGAAATCTAATTCGTGTGCTGATGCTCATTTCCAGCGTGAGGAAAGTGGGAATACGTCTGAATCTGTGAGTATAAGTTTGCAGTATCAAGCTGGTAACCACTTGGACTTGCTCCTCTAATTTTTGAAATGGCAATTCTTTGAAGTGTTTTCAGTTTTAATGTGGAGCAGTCAGATTCCCCAGGGACCAAGTTTGCTGTGTTGAATGTGTTCATGCTGCTGTGGGGAACACACAGGGCCATAAGCTCAGCAGTCAGACTCTGAGTTTAAAAAGTCAAAATAGGAAATAAAATGAACTTACTTTCCACACAAGCAAGAAAAGTAATGAAATTAAGTTCTGTGTTAATGAAAAAATAATTGAAAAAGTAAGTCCTTAGAAGCAGCAGACCATATCAATCCCCAATTTGCCCCAACAACTTGTTACATGAGTATTAATTTGGCCATCAACATGTAAAGTGATGGTAAATACGCACATTAAACCTGCTATCCTTCTCAAATGAACTGTAATAAGTGATCCAGCTTCATGATAGGAAAGTATTACTCTAGAAGCAGGAACTAAAATAGGAGTTCATACTGTGGTACTCATATGAGTATCAATGAATTAAAAGTGGATCACACTTTCAAAAATCTCTGAGATACCCAGGAAGCAGGATCAGTTGAACTGCCAGTTAAATGAGAGAGGGAGAACTGGGATTTGAACTTCAGTTGACTTAGTTACTTCATAAAGCAATCTGTAATCATGAATCCATTTCATGAGGGATATCTGGTGCTAAAGATGAACCACTCCAAGACACATGTAAGCACATTTAAGCAAGAAGACCAGTCAGGGCCAGGGTGTGGTACCGACGACTGGACTGCTGTCAATATGTGCTCCAGAGAGTAGCACAGTCCTGGCACAACTTTGGCCCTCAGTATTGACTTATTTAAACTTGGTTCAGGGGAGAGCATGGACCAGCAGGCAACCCCAATAAGGTCCATGTGCAGGTGGGGAAGGTGGAAGGTTTATCAATTCCTTGTGAGGTGTGTCTCTTTTCCTTAGGGATGGAAAGTAGTCCTGACTTGTTTAATTTACTCACACAGACTTGGCTTTAGGCCTGGATGAGAAGGACAACGTGTGTCCCCCTCCCCACCTCTTTTCTATGCAGATGGAGATGTGCATGGCATCTTGTTGGAGAGAGCTGGATCACTGCTCAGCCAGGTTGCCCTGGTGAGCACCATGTACTTCAAAAGCACATGGCAAGAGAAGTTTTCTTTTATGGATACCCAGATGTTGCCTTTTACCACGGTGGAGGGCTCAACCCTGAAAGTGCCAACAATGCATCACACAGCCGAAGTTAACTATGGTAACTGTCCTTGATCCAGTTTGCTCCATTATACAACATGGAACAGTTTTATTTATTTATTTTTCACAGCTACCACACTAAGATGTGTTATTTTCCCAGCCTGGAGAAGTCTCAGAAGAAATCCCATCAAAGAGACCACCTGGGTGACTGAATTGACTCTTTATAATCCCAGGCAACCACAGAACAGATCCTGGGTTCAAAATGGTACTCAAAACATGTACTGTTCATGCCCTATCCCTCACAGACCAACACCTCCCAGCACTCCATAACAAATTTGTCAGCTATAGCAAACAACCAAAAGGTATCAAGATAACAAGCTAAGAGGAGGGAACAGGAGAGACTGGAGGCACCTTGGTATACAAAGTCCTTTGCAGTAGCAAGGAGCTTGTTAAATAAAGCTGCATAAGAAGGGAGAACCCTAGGAAGCATACCTGATCGCATGACAAAGGGTCAGTTAGAACTAAAGCAAGATCAAGCTCCTACCAATTTGATCTGGAGTCAGGGGTTTAAGAAATTTTTGGGCCGCTCAGCCTGATGGCTGTTTGTCCCTTGAGTGTGTGAGCACCAGAGAGAGGATAATATCACCAGGAGCATCAGCACTACTCACCCATCTCTCCTGTCTCTGGTCAAAGCCCTTCTCCAAGGCTTTAGGGTAAAACTGCACATCTTCAGCAAAAAATTCTGCAACAAAGGGGAGATAAATTTTTATAGCTGCTATAGCCCATCAGTGGATGCTCTCAACATGGGTTTAAAATAGTATAAATACAGATCAAACTCCTTTCAAAGGCCTGGAGTATGTGAGTTACTGACAGAAGGACTCAGAGACTTAATTTTCTACTACCAGGAATTCTTCCATTTAGGGCTACAATCTCTTGAAAAATATAAAAAGCTCCTTTCCTTTCTATCCTATATTTCAGAAATGTACTTGGTTAAAAACCTTCCTAATTCCAAGTCTAAATTTTTTCAAGACCAATTTATATCTCTTAGCATCATGCTAGCTTTTTCCTTTAAGTTAAATAGCTTCTCTTCAGTTTTGATATTTACTCCCAAATGTATTTGCCAGTCACCAAGTTGCCTCTCAATTTCCTGTTAGCTAAGATGAAGATGCCAGGCTCTTCTAAACTATTAAGAAAACCTCAGATACTCCAAGTTTCTGCTAGTTATTTTCTGCACTTTTCCAATTTAAATAAATCTTTCTTGAAAATAAGCCACCAGGAATATACATAATACATAAAATGCTCTTAATATTTCTATGACTTGCTAAAAATACCTTGCATAGTGCACTGTAGAATCAGCTCAGAGTGGTTACTCAATGTTGAACCCACCTGGGCTTTTTTTCTTTCTCCATTTTTTTCCAGCTGATAAGTCCTAGGTTTATCAAGGAGAGGGAAATCTCCACAAGTACATGCTTCTTTTGTGGTTTTGAACCATCATTTCCACTGCTCCAGTCATCACAATAACCTCACTGTTTGTCTTTGATGAAAGTCTTGAATGTTGGCAATACTTTGGAAAGCCACAGGTAACGTATTTTCAACCTGGGAGCCCCACTTTTAACTTGGTTCATTGTAGTTTCCCCTTCAAGTGGCTGCTTGCTGCCATTCATTTCTTGCTCTAGTTGCCATCACTTCTAACTGTAAATAGTGCCATAATGAAACTATGTTTAATGTTTTACTCAAAACTAAATGGCCGGATCTAATCATATTAGTTATTAAGTCAGAAAAGCTTATAGATTTGTTTGCTAGGGTCTACCTGATGTTGCAATTTTTCCTCACTTTCTATTTCCCTCTGTGACTTGATTATTTTCTCCAGCATATGTTCTAAAACTTCTCAAAGACCTAAAATTTTCCAGATTACTTTCTTTTTATTAATATGTTCCTGTTTTCCAGTTATGGAACACAACTGAATCTACAGGTCTATTAAAAATCTTTGCTGACATATTTGCCATTTCACATCCAAGTTCTTTTCGTATTCTGGGGTGGTGATCATCCAGGCTCCAGATTATTATTTGTCTCTCTCAAGTAGCTTAAACTTTGTTTCTGTCTCTGGTATTGTAATACCTCCTGTTCTTTCCCCACTTCCTTTAGGAACCTCAGCATTATCCTTTGCTATATCATCAGTTTATTTCTTTCCCATCAGTTCCAGCAAATAATTGGTATTAATCTAAAAAAAAAAAAATTTAAATTCAGTGTTCAGCAGCACTATTATTCTTTCCTTTTTCTCTTTTTCATATGGCTAAAACATTTTCCTTTTCTGTGCAAGAGTCACATCAAGTAGGCAGTTGGCCACTCCTTATTTCTATGCCTATTTATCTCTGAACCATCATTCACCCGGGTAAGGGAACACTTTTTCTGCTTTCTGCAATTTTGTCCTTACATCTTTCTTTGTGGTGTTTCTTCATCCGGGACATCCGTGGTGTGTCCACCACACTTCTATCTCCTGCTGGGACTGCCACCTCCTGAGTGACTTCACAGGTCTGACTTGGAGCGCCCCCATCTTCTTTGCATCTGAATCTTGTATACATTAGTTGACTTTACTCGGGAGTGCAGTTTCCCTTTACAAAACCCTCCACCTTATCATCCTTGTTGTTGAGTAACATAAACTACTACATCAGCTAGTGATCTTTCAGCCCCCTGATTTTGTATTACCAGCTCACTGAGGGGCCTTTGCTACTCGTGAAGTCTGGAATAGCATCACCCTTCACTGCTTCACAACCTACTCAGTTAAACAGGTTTCTCGGGACTAACACACAGCTATTAGCACAAGAATAAATCTTTTCTCCAAACACTATCTTTTAGTAGAGTGAAATAAAGAAATGAGACATCTAAAATGACCAAAGGCAGGAGGCTGCCAGTGCTCATACAAGTGGAGATCTTGGGTAAAGATCAGTGACCAGAAATTCAGCAGCTGAGCTGCAGACTGACCATATATTTGCTCCTGATCCCTTGCAAGCTTGATGTGAAATTGTTAGTTGTGCTTGTCTGACCATTTGCCTAAACACAAAAACTCCATCCTATCATCCTTAAGTAAGTAGCTGGAGCATTAAATATTTGCATAGGAAAAAAAAAAAAAAGTTAACCAAAATACTGGAATTACCTTTTCATCCAGTCTAAAATGTGTGAGCTTTCTGCAGCTGGAGGACTTGAGGAAACTGAAATGAGAGGGATCATTTAAAATTTGCTGATTGTCAGATTTGATAGGGCCAATTCAGTCTTTATGCTAGAAACATTTCTAATGAATCAGTTTGAAATTAATACAAAAGACAGGTTTACTACAGCAAAACAGAGGCATGAGATAACTTCCCTTCATTATTGAATTACAGCAGCTGTCTACCATCAGGATAAAAGCACAGAGTGAAAAAGATTAGCTGTGGCCTGATATTGATCTCAACATTTACAACATGGTTTATCCTTTTAACAGGGTCACGCAGAACAAATCAGCCTGAGGACAATTAACACTGCTCCAAGAAAATGTCAACATTATTATACTATTTATGCAAGCCTTATAAACACTGCAGCTATTTTACATATTCATGTAAAGTTAGGAACGCTAAATGTTCTGACTCAGTAATCTCAAGTTTTTGGTTTTCTTTCTAATTAATAAGATCTGTATAACCTTTGTGCACAATGTGCTGACTTCAAAATATTAACATGCCCATAGATTAAACCACTCGTAACCAGTGCACCACAAACGTAAATCTTCTCTGCTTGCCCATTACAAACCAGAAGGTCTTTTCTTGGCAAGGCAATCCATGTGCTGGGAGGTGGTTTTAACAGTGAAGTTCCCTCTCCACGTTGCATGGCGGGAGGGCTAATACAAGATCCTAAAATTTAATCTATCAGAATAATCAACACTTAACGAATCCTATCTAATCCAGATCTGCAAAACTAACAAATGCTGTACACTAAATATTTGAGACATCTTATAGCTACGTATTGGCTGATATTTATGTATGATGAACACAAACTATCTATATTCTGTTATTTACAATCACTGACTGAAAAAGTGTATCGACCCTTGAAGATACAACTACTATAGCTGGGTGAAGAGGGAGTAGATTAAATGTTTCGAATGGCCTGCAGCAATGACAATAAGTCATTTGCTTGCAACTTGTATTTAACTCCTGGCCTTCTAACTATTGATGAGTGTTTCAGAAAATGTTATTTATTGGGAAAAAATAAGAAAGTAAAAGTGTGATCATTAGAGCTGTTCTAACAGTCCATTAGAAACGCCTGGACTAATTGTTTATTGAAATATGGAATTAAAATTGTACTTTTAATGGCTGTTACAAATTGTTGCATAACTAATTACAAGCCTACCTTACTTTTGAGGCTACATTTTATAACCTTCACCTGATTTTGATATACTTTAGGCCTAGATTTTCAGCAATAAAAAATTTGGTGCTTAAATTAACATACGACTAACTACTTTATTGATGTAGCTACTTGCAGCCTGAAATAAGATTAAAACTGATTTTTAAAGGTAGTAAAGAAACATGAGGTAAAGTTTTCAATTAATTCAACAGGACACTCCTGATCTTGTTTTTGTAATTTCTTTCAGTAGTGAATCTTTAGTGAAAGGTATTAGATGGAAAACACAGAGAAAATGGTAAGATTATTCAAAGAACAAGCATTGCAAGAACAATCACCATAAAGTTGCTGTCACTGTCTCAGTAATGTTTTTTGAAGTCAGCAAGGAGGATAGTTACTATATGAGAAATAAAACATCCATGCTGTGTTGAAACAGTGCTTCAGGTACTATTACTGTCACTTTTCTGCCAAGATATATATATAGGTACATTTTTTAATTTATTTTTTTGTTTGTTTGTTTGTTTTGACACAATCAGCTCTGTTCACATAGAAGTTAAAAGCAACCTGAGCTGCTTGCAAGAGCATGCATTAGAGACAGCCTCTTATATCCCATCACTGGAGTTCTGAATTGTCTGCTGACCCAGGCTCAGGTTGTGGGTTTCGGGGTTTTTTTCCCCACTTGAATGCTGAAATAAGATCTATATTTGCCCACCCACAGGCCAGTTCCAGACTGCAGCTCTGGAGGGTTTCAGCGTGGTTGAGTTACCCTACCTGGGAGAGAAACTCAGCATGTTTCTAGTGCTTCCCAGCCACAAAAGAACATCTTTGTCCCAGATTGAGTCGCACCTTTCTGCCAAAACCATAACCTTTTGGGCCAACAGCTTAAAGAGAACAAAGATGGACATTTTTCTACCCAGGTAAGCAATGTTAGTACTCCAAGACAGCTTCTCTACTTCAGTTGTCAGAATTCTGTGTGATAGTGCTGACACAGGCAACGTATGAAGCAAAATCAAATGAGATGTTTTCGGTTTTGTTATTCATCACATGATTAGAAAAGCTCTAACCCTTTCTTAAGCCATGAAGAGGTGAGCTGGGAATGCCAAAACTTTCTGGTATGCTCCGTACTGTTTTAAAAACCAAGTATTTCAGTTGATCCTACAGCTTTTACTTAAAATTTGTCTGGGGTAAAAAAATCCTTTAAGGATCTAAAAGAGAGAAATGTTCCTGGACCTTTCCCACACTCCATTTTTCTCTTTGCTTAAGGAAAAATATATATATAACCTTTAAAAAATGCAATAGCTTATTTTTACAACTTGTTAGTCTACTACAAAAGCACTTTATAAAGAACTTGGGGGCCCCCACCAGTCATACCTATTTTTCTGTGCACAAAGTAAGTTTCAGCCATCTGTTTTTCACATTAGTCATTTGCCGTTGCTAGCAAATGCACATATCCTGGAGGTATTTTCTATCATGTATTCAAATGAAATTGCATAGCAGGAGGAATCAGGTGCAGGAGGGCCTTTTGTAGCTGTACCTACTGTATGGATCAGCATGGAAGGGCTTCATTACACATCTCTTACAATGCATTCCTCATGTTAATGAAGGGCTGAAAAACAATTTGTACATTAATATTCTTTTTTGCCAAGCTAATCTTTGGCAAATGTTTTTAAAGGGCCCTTTCCTACAGCCAAAAAGATTGTTAAAAAGAGGGTACTTGGGGAAATGCAGAGTTCATGTGACAAGAAGAGTGAGAGGTGGTCTGATTGCAATAGATGGAGGTGAGGGATTCCTTCTGTTAATGTCTTCAGGTGAAGATGAGTTGCTTTTCTGCAAAGAACACTTAATCAGATGGAACGCATTGGGATCATATAGAAATAGATGGATGAAATGCAAATGCTTAAAAGAAATTGCATCTGCTCCACATTTTAGCTCTATGAAACTACAAATCCTGTATTTAAATAAAATCTATCATATACATTTCAGGTTCAGTATTCAAAGCCTTTTTGACCTAAAGACAGTTTTTTCTGCCTTGGGAATTAGAGACGCATTTGATCCCATCACTGCTAATTTTAAAGGCATTTCAGGTAAGAGGCTTCACTGAATAAAAAAATGATTGCTGACCCAATAGTTGTAAACTCTTACATTTGAACAATTCAGTAGAACCTGGGCCTTCTGAACTGATTTTACTTCTTCCTCTGTGAAACTCTAAAACTATTCTATTTTATTATTGGCAATTGTATTTTGAGCTGTTGTTTTGCAGGAAAGAAGAATCTGAAAGGGACAGGGTTGTGTTTGGTGCTGCTTGTTTGGGTTTTTTTTTCTCCTTATTTCTTCAAGATTAAAACTGCCAAGACAGTGCAGGCCTGGAAAATGGTGTTTTATTCAGAAATTTAGGATGATTCGGTACAACTTGCATTCCTATTTGTGTTTTTAAATAGTTAACAGTTAGGGATGCTGGTCCAACAAGTCTCTATTCCAACTCCCGACACCGCAAACGATATTGGCATATGCCCACGTTATGTTGTCTTGCTAATCCAATGACCAGTGGACTAAATTATACTTTTCCTTTGCTGAAATACTAGTGTTATGATTGTAAACTGTCTTGGTTTTGGAAGTCCAAAGTTATTCCGCTCCTTGGAAAATTTTTATCCCTATTTAATATTAAATACAAAAAGAATTCAAAATATCTATTTGCTTTTTACTACTTTCAGCAACACAAATTATTTCAACTTAGTCATTTCTGTTTATAGCAAAGACTCAGAGTGGTAGCTACCCAGAGAGATGAAGAGAGTTCATGTAATTCTTGTGTGTGTTAGTGAATAAATGAAATCATCCAATTCAAAGATACTTTTACAGAAAAGTTACTTTCCTGGAATAACCTCAGAAGACGTGTTACTTATGGGTTTTTTAAATTATCCTTCTAAAATTGTTCTATAGCATTGTTCTATTGCAGCATATATCTCGAACTGCAGAGATACACATTAAAATAATCTCTTACAGCCCAATATTTTGTTAAAGCCTACTGCTTTGTTTATTACAAATGAATGTTAATATACTGATAAAGTGCACAAGTATGTTCACAATGAAAATCAGCCAGTGGGATAATCTCCCCAGGGAACCGGTGGATTCCCCAACACTGGACACTTAAGATTCAGCTGGACAGGGTGCTGGGCCATCTTGTCTAGACCAAGCTTTTGCCAAGAAAGGTTGGAACAGATGGTCCTCAAGGTCCCTTTCAACGTGATATTCTATAATTCTATGATGTATTTTTATTTAAATAAAGATAAATACTTTGAGGAAATTAACTCCATCATAAACAATACCGTTTAGCAGATTCTTTCCCATGTATGCAACTCAGTGGCTTTCATCATACAGGGTAAGGCTCGTATAAGTATTTGATCCTGCCTGTGGAGGGCTTATGGATTAAAGGATATGTTGAGGCCCTTCTCAATTCTACTCTTACACTACCCAGTCATGTATCGTAATAGTAGGGTTATAGCTATGATGGTGTAAGAGTTACGTGAAGCAGAGTTTATAAGGAAGGTTTATCTTTTGTTTAACAAATAGATATAGTTAGAAAAAGAAACAGTAAGTTTTCACTTCCCCTTCCATATGAAGCAGAAACTGCAGTCTTCAGAATCTTTACTCTCAGATCACATTTAGCAAACAAATGGGTTACTTTATTCCAGACCTGGAATAGCTTCTTTATGCCAGAAAGCTTCTAATTTTTCTTCCTCCAAAATATGTTAGAATTACCTAATTTTAAAAAACTGCCTCTCCCTAGTTTTGTCTTTCTTGTTTCCATCCCAGATTTTTGACTGGACAAAATTCACACAGAAACAGATAAAGTGCTCTTTTAGTATTTCCGTTTTCAGCTATATGTCAAGTTCAGTCCTCAGATTCAGACAAGAAAGAAAAAAACCTCTCAATCTTCCCTACTTTCTGCTCTTTGGGCAGCAGCAGACTTGTAACACTCTCCTTGATATCTTTCTGAAACTAATGTTTTCCAAGCTCCATTTTATGTCACAGTCCCATCATTTCTTCTTGAGGAGTGTTTTTTCTGCAGTTTCCCTTCCAACAGTTCCCCAATTCATACACTGTCCCCACTGAGTTAATTAGTTTCTACTCTCATCACGTAACCTTGCTTTCCACCACAACCCAGATACCTCTCAAACTATTAATTCCCGTTCAGCATTGTGCCTGCTGTTGTACATATAGTGGGAAAACACTCATAAAGATGAAAGGATAAACATGAGTAGAAATGAGGGAGAAGAGGGTGTTCACAATGGTGACATAAGTCAGAGGCAGTCACATGTGTGCATTCCTATTCACACTGGCAAGGAACCTGCTTCCCTCCAGCTGCAATACAGAGATCTCAGACATGCTGTCTTCCCCAAAGTACCCTAATGTTGCCTTTCTCTTCTGTTATCTTACTCTAAAGATGTTTCTATATTGTGTCAAAGTGATGCTCTTCTGTAGCCTGAACCCAACTCCCAACACTGGACATCAGTGGAAATGGGTCAGATTGCTGGCTGGCTCCATCACCAGACATGTGAGGACACCTCACAGCTCTTCCAGATTTACACCAATACACACAGAGTCAAAATCTTATCATTCCTCCTCCCCAACATTAGAAAGCAGATCTGAGTGATGAGGAGTCAATAGTAGAAACGCACTTAAGCAGAAAAATACCCCAACTTTGTGTTCCCAGTAGTGATTCTTTCCTAAGAACTTCACTGCTCATCTGAAAGCAGGATCCATGTTTCACATGAAAGTCAAGAGGCAGTCAGGCCATCAGGCAAGCTGTGTTCTATGCCAAACGACATGTTTGGGCAAATAAGTTCAAGACACACTTATTGTTCAAGTTCCCTGCATATAAGGTCATGCTGTTCCAAAACCAAAGTACCCATATTATCTCAGTTACATGCTGAGGTAGAAAGTCTGTAATATTAAGCTAGTTTAGACATTCAGGCTGTCTATGTTTACCCATATTAGGCACACATATGAAAAATCAGGAGTCGTGTCAAAATTAGAACTAAGTATCTTCTAAGATGGAAGCAAGATACTGAAAAGCAGGTTTATACTTGTGCTGTCTTTCTAAACATGATGTGCTAAAGGAACAAATGAAAGGAATTTTTGACAGAAGGTAATAATATGACATGCATTGTATTCAGCATCAGTTCACATGTAGTAAGGTGGAGAGCTTCCCGTACTTCATGTTACTATAGTAAATACTTTCAGAGCTAAACTGTCTAAAATTATATTCCTTCTAGTAAGCATTAAGCATTTTGTAAGCAGTGCTATCTTAAGAATAATATTTTAGAAATTTTTGCTTGATTTTTTGAAAGTTGAATGGACCAGAGGCCAAGCATAAACCACTATTTGTCCAGCAGCATCAGGCAGTGATGCAGTTAATGCTGCTCCAGCTAAATGTCAAGGGACTGGAATCTTTTGGCCTAGACAACCTTTAGGGTAGTTCAGTTTCAGTCACTGAATTAGTTGCCCAATTGAAACATCTAACAGTTATATGATCCTTAGATTCTGCAGAGAAAATTAAAAAAAAAAAACCAAAAACTAAAACTGTTTGCAATGAAATTCAGAAAATAACTATTAATATTCATTTCTGGGTTTTTGCAGAGCAAGATAATCTTTATATTTCAGATGCTCTCCACAAAGCAGAGATTGAAATAACAGAGGATGGTACAAAGGCATCAGGAGCTACAGGTAAATCAAATACACAGACTTTACTTCTCACTTCTGGAGCTTATCACTAATAGAAATAACTATGTCTGTTATTTTTTTTTTTTGCCAGAGAGGAGACAGACAGTCATAAACTGAGATAAACAGGTTTTGTTGAAAGTTTTGACAGAGAAATTCCAGGATGATATCCAGTAGATATTTCTCTGATGTTTGTCTCCCATTTAGAAAAGGGACTACATTTGTGCCTTGCTTATCTAAGCAGAGCTAGGAACTGCCTAACAGGTTAGGCAATAGCATGGTATGACTTCAGCAGAGTTAGGGCTGTGATAAAACAAAAATTACATTACCTTTGAAATCCAAAGCCAGGCATATTCCCTTCAGCAACAAAATACACATGAATCACCTGCATGTAGTCTCACAACACTTGATTTGTTCATTCACCCAGACTGATTTCACTGCTGGATAAAATTCTTGGTTTATTCTTAAGGCAGAGGAACAATGAAAAACTCAAGATACTAAACATCAAAGCTTGAGGGCACTGCATGGAAGATGGAAAGAAAATGGACACATTTTACTAATGTTTTCTTTGTTGCATTACAGCAATGGTATTACTAAAAAGATCCCGAACACCTATTTTTAAAGCAGACAGACCTTTCACATTTTTCCTGAGACAAGCTAATACAGGTACGCATGCTTTGTGTTTCAGTAGCAGAATCTTTCACAAGTAGCACTGCAATCAATAGCAAGTTCTTTGTAAACAGCATGCCATTCTTCAGTCCAGGAAACTTCAACAACCATGGAAACAGTGGGTTTAAGTGTGTTTTAAGCATAAGGAATTCGGTTTAATTTAGTTTAAAAAAAAAAAAAAAAAAAAAAAAAAAAAAAATTCTGTATGCAATGTGCTCAAAAAGATTTCTACCATAACTATAGGCACTAGAAAGATCTTAAACGCCTGAGGATTAGGGACTGATCTCCACAGGGCAATTCAAATTACAAATTGGCTGGATCAACTGGATTAATACCTGAAGAAGTTAAAATAGAAATCTTTCCCTATAAATGAAACTTATTCATGCCTACACAGATGGCATACAGCTGACTAGGCACCTGGACTCTATGGCCTAAAACTCCCTGTATTAATTCCTACCTGAGCAGTTTCTAAAGAGATAGCTCAGAAATTCTCAAGACCAACAATCTTTTGCGCAGCTATAGCTCAGAATATGCAGCTGCAAGTTTTTCTTCCCTTGTATCTTGAAGATCAACACCTTTGAGGAGTTTTGCCCATCTGGACTCTTCACTACTTAGTGTGCTCATGAAACATTCAGGTTGCTAAAAGCTGTGGATATTCACTGTATGTAAACAGGTAATTTAGCTCTGCAAAACCCCTAACTTGTATCTTCATTTTTGCAAGGAACTGTCAAAAAATGCACATTCCTTTTGCAACTGATAATCTCTTGCAAATTAACTCCCCCAGCCCCCCAAAACAAATAAAATTGCAGAGCATCTCAAAGAGTGAAGCATCACAGTGCTCCTTTGAATTCAGTATTAGACTATATGTCTCATTTCAGATATGTCCAATCACATAGGTTACACAGAATCTCTGGCAAAGGAAACCACCATATAGTTCTTTGACAATAACAAAGAATTGCACCATGCACCACTTAACAGACATCTGCTCCTGTGAAACATAAGGCCAGCTCCAACACCACTTACCATTCTTAGCAATGCAGTAAATTTGCACCTTTTTCCCAAAAAAATCATTCAAACCACCAAGTTTCTCACAAAACTGGGGTCATGTCCATCTAGATTCATGGGAACATACAGCCATTTGTAGGGTTCAGTAAAACACTGGGGCCTGGCAAGAAGACTGAAGTAATTTTCATTTTCTGCTTCCAAGCAAGACACACTGTTCTCTTAGTTGGTGAATACCTGTATATACAACATTCTGCTTTAAAAACCTGCATCTTACATTTTGACCAAAATGCAAATACATCTCTTTTCAAGAGAAAAGTGCTACCTTGCTGGGGGTTTTCCATCAAATATGCTTTGGCAATCATTACCATTCAATAAATAAAAGTATTTTTATTTGGCAAATACACTAAAAGCTGATCTATGAAACCTCAGCCACAGGATTAAGAACAAACTGATTTTTGTAAATATACTGTAAACAGCAGTTTTATAAATCATATAAATAGGAAGGAAACCATATTGTAAACTAGGTTTTTTATATGAAGCATAACAAAGTATATACCTTCCAATCAACTCAAAATCAGAAGTACATTTCTAAGTTAAGCTTTTTAATGCAAAAAGTGAAAACTGTGAAAACATTCGGTCATTTTGCTTGTTCAAACTTAGTGACTGAAGTTGTTCAGGTATGAAAAGGGGAAAGGGTAAACAAGATCTGGTTTTAATACTTTTTAACAACCTAACTAGAGGTACTTAAAACTTACTATCCCCATGAACTTCACAATGAATCTTTATGTAGACCAGAAGTATTTATTGCATCAGTCTTCTAGTAATAGCAGAAATATTATTTTCCAAGCCTTAAAATAGCATAGTTCTGCCTGAAATAATTGAAAAAAATATTCAGTTTTTAATCTGAAGTTCAGGTCTGAACATATTCCCTTTGAAGGAGAGACAAGGTAACAGTGGTACAAACAACTGAACCACACATTCAATGAATCTGAGGCAGTGACTTCATTCAAGTGTAACATCTCTTCTGTAACTACACTATCAATGAATGAATTTAGGCTCTGTTTTGCTCAGTTCAAAAGTGATTCTTTAGCCAGTGGTTTCGGTAAGTTTCAGGTTTGGGCAGATTTCTGGTTTAGGCTATCTAGAAAGGAAAGGCCTTTTTATTTTTAATACAGAAATGTTCAAGTTATCCCAAGGCAAGCATGAAATTGCAGTTGTTTTTTCCATACAAACAATGAATGATCATAAATCTGCTAGTTCCATGCTTAATTTATATATTTAAGTGCATTACACTTTGAAAATGTGGTCCCAAACTGAAATATTGTTAATGTTGTTTTCATTTACAGGTTCAGTACTCTTTATAGGAAGAGTTACAAATCCTTCATAATAACCACTAGACAAATACATTGTCTTCTAGTCCTCCTATGGTAAGCTTCCCTTCAGTGAAATTAAAGTCTGCATTATATGTATTTATTAAAACACTGGTTTAAATAATATAATTTTTGCAAGAATAAGAGTGAAAAAAACTCTCCACTACTTCATGATCTTGTACATGCTGTTGGAAACCTACAGCTCTCTAGTAATCCTTACCACCACAACTACAGCAATGATAGTAAAAGCATATAAACATTTGAGGAAAAAAAAAAAACAGATTTTGCCACCTAAACGTTTAAGAATATGGGCCAACAGCTTCTGCTTAACTTCATCATGGTTGAAGTCAGATTGACTGTTGCCAAGTATGTAGGTCATCTGAAAGAAAGCATCCTGCAGGAAAACTTTGTGATATATCTAATTTTTCAAGTGCTATTTTATTTCCCTGTCCTGAAGTCAAAAACTGAAGAACAAAATTGAAATTCAGTCTGGTCCCAGACTTAGATAGCAAAGAATAAAATGCTGTGAAAAGGAAAACAAGTTGAGAGGCTGTTTTAAAAATGACAGAACAGGTAGGAAGCAGAAATACCCACTCAAGCAGCAACCAAAACAAATACTATTGCCAAAAAAGCTATTACTACTACCTTTACTACCCTTTATTTTACTTTTTTAAAGCATACATAACATAGAACAGACATTCCTGAAGAACACTGAGGCTAAAAGCATCTAGAAAAATGCTTTTTTCAGCATCCTGACAAAAGGTGGGATACAGTGACTGTTCTAGTAGTAGATCCAGCAACTCATGGCACAAGCATCGGAAACTCAGGCCCATAGAGATTTTGGGTGAAGATTGCAAACCTCTCACTCCTGGGAAAAGCAACAGAGAGAAGCTGCTCCCACTGAATCAAACAAAGCTTTCCAGAAGTTAGGAGCATCTAGCACAGGTGAAAGGCATGGCCACTAAAGCATTCGACGATATTTTGTGTCTAAGCAGCAGCACCTTCTGGCTGTTCCTGCATTTGTAAACATGTAAAAACTGACACAGCAGAACTCTGTGCAGCATTCCTCAAAGGCTACTGAGCCCTGCTTTACTACACTATATCCTCACAGAACTGTGGGTTTGTCATTGCTGTGGATGCACATAAAGAACATCAGTTCATCATGCTAGCCACCAAATAGTGAAGCACAAAGTACAAAAGGCCACAAGGTATCATCCTACCCTGGTTGTGATTCAGCATTAGCTTCCTTTCACTCATTCTCTGATAACGAACAGAATATCCGGTGATATAAAACTGCTCTTCATTCTTTAACACTGATACTAGAACGTGTAAGCTCTGGAAAGGCAAGGCAAAATTCCAATAAAAACCATACTCAATCCTACACAAAGATTAAAATAGAGCTTTTATTGATGGAATAACAAAAGTGCTTTTCTTAAATATTTTTCAAAATACATTTATACAACTTACAATAATATATCCAAAATAACTGTATATACAAAACATTACCTTGTTTAATGTATGTGCTTTTTTTTTTTTTTTGAAAATTACAAAGCAACTTTTTGGCAAAGTTCAACCTTAAGAGGTGATAGTTTTGAAGGTTGGATTAAGAAAAATAGAACCTGAGGGAAAGTGACACTTAAGTCCATGACAAGCAAGAAGTTCTCCATTTAGTTAAATAAAAATGTTTTTGTAATATTTTTCACATTACAAAAATAACAGAAGAAAAAAAAAGATTATGGACACTTTTCTCCTTTTCTCATCATTTTATAGAGCAGCTTCTCATTCTTTCAGGTACAGGAACTTGAGATAAGAGTGCATGTCAAAAATGAATGCAAGTAAGGACAGCAGTGCCCTGCTGTGTCTTTCTGTTGTGTGCAGTGTTTCTTAGCTGCTGTTGATATGGTTGACCTGATTGGATCTGCGATGGATTTCTTCCAGAAAACTCTCAAGCTGTTCTATCAGCATTCGTTTTTTAAACCTGTATTTAAAAGAAAGCATAATAATGGATGCACACACTAATACATTAAACATTTTTCACAGAAGTTTTACTGAACTCAGGAAACTTCAGTTATCATTTTAGGTCCAGTGCACAATGAGGTTATACATACCTCGTACATATATATGCTGTCTCCTAAAGCTCTGGTTAACTACTAACTTCCTTTTCCATTTAATGAGAGAATGCAAAACTACACTTACTACAGTCTATTCTAGCACATTGCTGAACATGATTCAGCCCTCAGAAAGGCAGGAAAAGGAGTTAAGTGTCTCCTCTGTCCAGAAGTAAATCTCCAAAATAGAATATATGTCAGAAAAACTATAATCTATCAACAGATTTTAGGGATTATTTGTATGCCTTTATGATGCATTTACAAACACTAAGGTGGTACTGGTGAAGGAATAGCCATTACACAGTGCAGAGCAGATTTCCCTGACAAGAAAATACAAATTCAAAGTTTGAGAAAGAAATTAAAGATACAGACATAATCCATACCTGGAGTCTCTGCAGTTCTATTCCATACTGATTACAAACTTGAACAGCAGACCATTCTGTCACCTTTGCTTACACCCCTGCCTCAGCACACATGGCTCGTTGCTGTTCCCAGCTAGCCCTCCCCCTTGAAACATTTCTGCATCTGAGAAGTCACTTCTGACCGATGCTTTGGCAG